AATTTTCAGATGGTCGACAATAACAAGTATAGCGGTAGTCACGTCACATTTTTGGAGCCAATGAAATTTTTGTGGTAAACAGTATATGCCTGACATAATTCAACAAAGATAATGAAACCAAATATCTTCCTTTTGCATCGGCATAAGTTTTATTTGCTCCTTGAAGTTATTTATTTAATATATTTAATTTTTCAAAGATATCAGCTAAATAACCCACAATTGCCTTGTTATCATCCATTAACGGATTTTTCATTTCAGGTTTGTCGCTTATAAAATAACTAAGTTCTATAAATCTTTCCAAGCAGTTCCCTTTCAACAGACTTCTTACTTCAGTGTGAAGTACAAGTCTCATATAGTCTTCATTTTGTTCTTCATAAAATAACTTGAAAAGATGTCACATTTGGCCCTAGCATTTAATAGCACTATTATACATTTAATATACACTTTATAACTGAATTTAGTACTTCATTTAGAACAGGCGAAATTGTTTTTAGCTAGCAGGTTTTCTCTATGAATAACACAATGCACAAGAAGCATTTTTGATCCTCATCTTTTATCAATTTTAAGCAATCCTTTTCCTTATTCCGTGCTTTATTTTATTTTTCAACCATCATATTAGGAGCACCATCTGCAGTACAGGATGTATATTTTTTATATCTAAGTAATTTCTTAGCTCACTATGAATACCTTTGGAGGTAGTAGTGCTTTCTAATGATTTACAGAAGAACATTTCTTCGGCAAAATCCCCTTTATGAATATATTTTACATAAGTTACAAGTACGGCCTCACTGTCTCTCAAAGTTGGTTCATCTATTTGCACCGAAAATTTTCTTATTTTCAGCTTTTCAACAAGTTGTATTTCAATGTCCTCATTTAATCTTTCTTCTGCAAACAGTATTGTTATTTAGTGGCATAGCTTTAATGTCTTTGTCATCTTTTTCTAGAACAGTTTTAAATGCTGATATTGATGGTTTGAATAAATTCTCCCCTACAGTACAGCTTTTCCCAGATTAAGCGATGAGTAATGAAATTTGATAGCCTCAAGGGCACGATTAACAGTGCAATATGAGCAGTAAATAGAGACTTTAATATTACTCTTTTAAAAAATTTTCCTTAAAATGTGAAAATAATTCAAACCTGAATTAATATCAGCATTATGTTTCGCCTTCAAATGTGCCTCAAGACGACCTAGTTTCACTGATTCGTTGGTCAGGCGTTACTGGCATAAAAGACAAAAGTTGACCGTTTATGGACCGGGTATGAAACCAAATTTTAAATATGCCTCCGAATACCAACGAACGTTTTTTTTTTTTTTTGCTTGCACCCCTCATTTCACTAAGGGCTGAAAGAAATAAATATAAGATCAATATAAACAAAGCTTCCATTTAAGGAAAGACTAATATACCGGTTGCCATTCCTACAGTAAAAAATAAAATAAATTCGTTTTCTGAAATGTGTGAGAAACGTCTGGAAAGCATAATGTGTCAGTTATTTGAATGCCTTTAAAAGCATTTAAATGTCCATGTCTACAGTGAGAATTCTTTATAAAATATTTAAAATGCACCGTAATTTAAAAACTTTTTTTACACATACATCACTTACATTTTTCTTTATTTTGGGGAATAAAAAATGAAATTTCAAACAATTTTGACTTTATGAAACATTTAGAACGTCTTTTGTCCCCTTAAACTCTGGATGAGTCCATTTTCGAATTGCCCCCCTTAACAGTCACATTGCCCCCTTGCGGGGCGTGGGCCCCACGTTGAGAAACACGGGTATAGAGGGTGAGGATATTTAATGCCTTGTATGGCCAGCATGTTCTCCAGATCTGACTCCTAATGAAAATATTTGGGATCCTTTGGGGAGGAATCTTGCTGGTTGGCAATGCCCTTCAATAAACAAAGACATACTGACAGACATACTCATCCCCGTACTGACAGAGGAAAGGGATAAATTACCCCAACAGCTGCTGGATAATGCTGTGCAAAACATGACACGACCTAAAGAATCTTGCACCCCCCTCCATGGTGGCCATATCCTGTATATGCCAGAATGCCAGCAGACGATAACTGCATTTATTTCACTTTTTCATATTCAGCACAAAATGACCATTTTGTCCCTTGAACACTCAAAGCCTTCTGGATTTCAGAGCACAAAAAATTATATAATAGAAGTCCAGAAATCTGCAACGCTTGGGACCAGAAGTTGTGCGGATTTTAGCATTTTGTGAATTTCAGGATAGAAAATATAACATTCAGACTAAAAGTGCAAAATAAATAAGGTGTATTAGATACATTTAATTAAATTATTATATACATTAATACAATAATTAATTATATGCATTAAATTATTATTACATACATAAACTGATTATATCGTTCATTTACATTAAGCTCCTCTATTTTTAAATCAGCATGAATCTGCTTCCCCTTTTCTCTCAGGAGTACAGGTTAGGCTTGGCGCGGGCCTGAAATAGGTACCCCATTACTCCATCGCTGCCGGAACCACACGTACAAAACAGCATCGAGATTTGCCAATTTCGCCTCATATAAAAATTTCCGGTTTCGGATTACGATGTTAGAATCACTGTTGCTGTAAACTTTCAACAGCTTTTCTTTATTGTTCTGTATATTACACACAGTCCCAGTGGCAATTCCATACGATTCTGCTATAAACCAAGCAGTAGCACCTGCCTCCATCTTTAGCAGAATTTCCACTTCTTTCATTACCGTCAATGCATCGCATTAATGTTTTTCAACGTTGCAAGCAGTAAAATCACGAGTGTGTTTCTTATCTGTCATTGTATGAAAAAGCGCTGAAATTTAAAATATTCTTAATATATCCACAAAATATCCGGATAAAGAAAAACAACATTACTAAACAATCTCATGAAATATACCAAAGCTCAGAAAGTTAAGCGTGAGCTTGAAAGAAGAGTTGAGTTAATCGTCTGCTTTTTTACCTCGATGCAGATTGGAGGGGGGAAAACTCTTATCATGATGTCAATAATTTGGTATTTTCGTTATGACTCATTATTTTTCGGTAATTATGACATCATTATCCAGTAAGTATTTTTTCTTCGATGTTTCTTACTCCATGTTGCGGTTTCCGGAACCTATAAACTAAATGTTCATATTTTGAGAGGCAACGTGGATTTCAGGAGTTGGCAGATTTCAAGTCGGTGGATTTTCGGTATTTGACTGTATTTATTGTCCTAAAATTCTGGCATTATTTTATTTCACTTGGCAACCAACTACACTTACATTTTAGCCGTTTGCATTCTGTCCTTAGCAATTGGCCACCACTGTATAAACAATCAAAAAATTGCATCTCCTGAAGAAGATAGACCTGTTCCTGATCCTCCTCAAAAATGAAAGAATTTTATTCAAAATCTAGGCCAGACTAAGGCTGATGTTTTACCACATTTTAAATTTCACACAGGTATATTTCCCTTCCAATTTTGCCTAGATCTCTATTTTAGAGAGGAAAAATTCTCCAATTAAGAGAATGCTATTAAGTTTAGAAAAACCAGCCATGATTATAGATTTTTTTTTTTTTTAAATTCTGCAGAGATAGTTTTCTTAAAATGATATTTGATTATCAATATTGATTTATTGTTGTCAATCAATCAATACACAATTACATGTTCTAAAAACTATTGGTCACTTTGAAATGGGATTATTACCTCTAAAATTAACTTACTCCTATTTCTTTAATACTTCCAAACATTTTCAACAGTATCCTCATCCCTGCTGCAAATTTATATTATTTGATAAATATCAGGCAAAAAAGGAAAAATTATTAGTATTTTATATTATTTTTATTTGCATTTGAATAAAAATAGAAGTAAATTATCAAAATTTTCATTTCTGCATATTGAAAATCAAATCCATGAAAACAATTCTTCCCACATTTTGGATATACTGTGTTGTAAATATCCTGAAACATTAAGACGCACCAGATTAGTCTTTATTTCTTTCCAGTAACCTTTAAAGTTATAGTAATTATCAATTAAGTTTTCTTTAGCAGTCCTCGCCATTATTGTAAGTAAAATTGACAGAAAGCATATGTGTAATACATTGTACTATGACCAAATATGGAAGACACGAAAACACAAACCTTGCCCCAATACCACATGAACAAGGACTGTAATAACATGACCAAGTAGGGTAAATCAAACGAACACACGTCCAGTCTGACATTGCATTAAACGGGGACAAGATAGTATTTTCACCATATCTGGAATACAAATGTTCACTCAATGCAACCTTAGGGGGAACTTGTTCTTTTCTGTCATGGAAGCATGGAACTACTTTCTGCATCACAGCACGCAATTCATATACAGTTTTATATAAAAATAAACTTCTTATAATACCAAAAACATGGATCCGATTTGGCTCATAATTGGTTTCTGCCTGAATCTGAGGTCCCTGTTTGTGATTTCAGCATTATTTCCAACTGAGGGTGCCCTCAGTATTTTAAAAGCCCTTGGTTAAAAGCTGTGTATAGATATTCCAGTACTCGATTTACACACTAGTTGAACACACACACACCTCTCTTTTGTAAGATAATTTTTCATAAAAATATTTAAAAGGCACCAAACACAAGAATAATGAATATAATAAAATGTTCAGTTTTTAAACACCCATAAAACCCCATGCTCAAGAAAATTGTCAATTCAAAATTGCATTTGTTTGATTCGATAAATTCATTGAACTGTATTTGTTTCAATTACTGAATTCAATTAATACTGCAGAAATAATCAAAAAGTACAAAAACCATAAATTAACCATTTTAATAAAGAATTATTAAAAACTGAAAAACTTATTTTCTGGCTAAATGTGTATAGTCTAGCACAAACTGTTGGAAAGACGAAAAGTACTGAATTTAAATGTAACTACTAGCAATGAAAGCACAGCTTTGAAGAAAATTTTTATATGCTGTTTAACATGTGCTTACACAATATTCTTCGGGGAAAAAAAAAAAAAAATTCTACTGACCTGAGGATTTGTAGTAGATTGTGAACCAGAATGAGTTATTACAGTCACTCCACTAGTATTTCTCATTTTTGTAGCCTGTGGGGTATAAGTATGAGATGTATGTACTAAAGCTGTAGCAAACGATGCTGTAACTTGGCTACCAACAGCAGCAGATGCGGGTATACTAGATGATGGACTCACAGATGTTGTTGTAGATGTAGACTGGCTTGACCTCAGCACAGATGAATCGTGTACAATAACAGGTTGATTATTACCAATTGATACAGTTACAGGACCTTCTTCTTGTAGAGTAGGCATACTACCACTAAAATATAATAGAAACATCCAATCAATATATCAAATGTGATAACATCACAGTAAGTAATAAAATTCTAAATAAAGCTTTAAAATTTATTTAGAGCCTTACGTGCACTGTTAAGCAAATCATATACAATTAAACTCATTTTCAATTCAAATTAAAGAACAAAGATTCATATTTTTTGCATATGCAATTATTCTTCTCAGTTAAAGCTTTGGGCTGTGCATTTTTTACCCAGTTTTTAAAAACGATTTTTTAACTAAATATTTTCCTCGGTATTTTGTTCAATTTCAGCACTTTTACTCTATCTCAGTGATTAAAATAAAAAGTAAGAGCATCTACCAGCTTGCATTCTATACAAGTGCTATATATTTTTTAAGTGAACATCAAAAACATTAATTACTTTGAAAGGAAGCCTGGATTATTTTACTATGTTTTAGTATCATCCGAGTAACACTACAATAAATAATTGTGCAGCATGAAAGCAATTTTACCCTTTGAAGGGCCACCAGTATGTAATATATACCAGTTGTTTGTCAATTTTTTAACATCGGAAAAAATTATAATTTCTCTACACCAAAAGCTATAATCGTAAGTTTCTAGTGTTTCCTTTCAATTCTAAATGGCAACACCACCCTATGAATGCTCAATATTTTGCAGTTATGAAATTAATATACCTCGTTCCAAGGTATCATGTTTGAAGATTGATAAATTCTATTGGAGGGAAAAATTCCAAATCTGCAATATATGACGAGACATGCTGAACCTTTTATATTTACTGCATTTCAATCAAAACTGATAATTAAAAGAAGATTATGTATAGGTTTTTAATACCGATATATAATATATACCGCCGCCCCTACTGAGGGTGCCTTGCCAATAGGTGGCAGCACCAGGCTTCTTCTTCTCTACTGTGAGAGATGACAGCATTTCTTTACATTGTAATAGTTTATGATTAATTTACAAGTTGTTTAGGATTCAGTATTATGTTCATGAAGGGATGGGGTTTACTGACACTGCACTAAGACAATACAAGCATATTTGTTTCTTTTTATTCTTTTTTTACTCTACGCGAGTTTCATTCTCTATTTAGCTAACATTTTAACTTCAGCACTTCACTCTTTCCAAAGAGAAAGACTCATCGATTTCGAAATTGCCATCTGGGGTCAAAATTTTACACAGTTGTAGGCATTAAATGTGGCATGTTAGTCCCCAAAAGACACCCTTTGCTTCCTGTTTTCTAAAATCCTAGAATTCAAAGAAAATGAAAGGAGGGGATTGACAGCTGATTTGTCATTCGGGAATCAAACCTTCTTCCCTTTGTGTGGTGTGATAAGATCACACAAAGAGAAAGCTCATTCAAAAATACGGGAAATGGAAGTGCACTGAAGGTCCATCTCTTAGTGTAATCACAAAAACTTCTGATTTGAAAGCATGCTTTTATTCTTATCGTGTTTGTTAATTTCAGATGAAAGACTAGAGAACGCAAGAGAAATTTAGGGTTAGGTTGTTTTTGAAATAAATTTCACAGTTTGTGAAATGAGGGAAAATATTTCTAAGGCCTGTTTTAGGTGCAAACTAGAATTTATCCAAAAGTTGAAAAGGAGCCCCTAGGAGGCCAAAGGGGTTGAAAATCGAAATAAGAGCTTTCAAGTGTATAAAATAATAAAGTTGTTTAACGGCGTTTCTTCCTGAACAAAAAGATATATTACAACTTATATTTACAAAAAATAAAAAAGGGTCTTTATGGTCCTTGATAATCTAAAGTCTGTATGCGTGGGGGGGGGGAAGGTTGATTCTTCGTATCATAGCATGAAACATGGTTTTTTTACATATTATCTAAAGCATAAAATATGACTTCAAAAATGCAACATACTTTCTCATCTGAGTCCTAGTGTTTTATTTTTTTTATTTTTCGGCTGTTATATCTCCTTGTAATATTATACTAGTTCAGTTACAGCATGATATGATTTACGCATGCAGTGTAATATTTACTAATTTTTTTATAAAATAATAATATTGAATTTAAATCAAGTTTAAAAGCTTTTTACCCATATTTTACATAAGTATGTTCAGCCGGGTTGCATCATCAAAGTGCATAAAAACGTAAATTTTATTTTTAAAATTTTAAATTCCTACGGAAATTTTAAAAGTTTTTATCTTCAGACTTGCATAACTATATTCAAGCACCCATCTCTACAGATGCACATCAAAAGTATGCAAAATTAATTCGAAAATCAAAAAATTAACAATTGGCACCTACCTTAAAAAAAAAATGTCTTAAGAGGGGCGGCGGTATAATATATATATACCGGCTCTCAAAATTTAGGATTTCGCTCTAGTTTTTTTTTAAGTCTCAATTTTGTGTCTTTAGGGTTCATTACTTATAGATGCAAAATTTTACCACAGTTTAAATTATTTTATATGCCGAACCTCAAAGGGTTAATATGCTCCAAGTTTTAAATTTTCAAACAGAAAAAACAACAAAAATGAAAAAAATAATATTACTACATTAATAAATGCTAAATTCAGACAACTCATATATGAACCATACTTCAATAGACTGGATTATAGAACTTTCGTACATACAAAGTCAAACTCATTTTGATTTACTTCAAAATAAAAAGGAATAACTAAAACTTACATATCTCTAATTCAACAGTTTAAGCATATTATTAAAACAATAATTGAGGCACGTTACTGGATTAGATGAAAGGTTAAGTTTCGGCTAGATTAATATTACAGCAATGCATTCAAATGTCTCTGTCAGATAGATTGGCTGGTTAACTTATTATGGTAAAATGCTGCACATTTTCTAAAGTTTAAATTTCTATGTTATAGTAGAAGACCAGAAATCCGCAATACTTCGGACCAGAAGTTGAATGGATTTTAGAACAGAAAAGAAATTTCATAATATTTAGACTAAAAGTTTTAAATAAATAAGGGCATTAAGGATATATATATATATATACATATATAAACATTGATGACATATGGAAATAAGAGACATTAATAAAGCATAACACTTTTCTGACAGAGGTTTGTTTCAAAACTTCAGGTGTTCCAGTCTTTTTTTGGGGGGGGGGTAAATTATATAATCATAATATCTTGTTCTATGACACAGCTTTGTTGTTCCAAAAGTCTTAGGTATTTTCCTCCATGTTAAAAAAACTTTTATTGAAAGATATTTTATCACTCCTATCAAATTCACAATCTGTGTAGGTGTCAGAATCATTTTGTTGCTGCATTGAGTTCAAGAGAGAGCCAATAATTTCATCATCTGTCATTTGAAATGAAACCGTTGGCTCATTTGGACACATAATCCATGCAACGATTTCTTTTTGCAAAGCCTCCTCATTTTTTCCTTCTTTCAAATACAGAAGCTATTCTTTTGCTTTAACCTTTGCTGAACTGACCCTAAAACCAGAAAAATCCATTGACATTGCTCTCAGTTTCAATAAACCGAGAAGATGGGCATACATTATGCCAGCCATAACAAATAGATGCAGTCTTTGAGTGTGAATTTTTTTTTTATTTATAATCACAAAGCAAAATAAAACAGTCTCTGGAAAGATTCCCCCCCCAGAAACTGTGGTTTAATACTGTGTATTATGCCCTGGTCCATTGGCTGGATCAATGGTGTAGTATTTCAGGGCAAAAAAGGGGGATGTTAAAATGATTGCATATGGATGTACAGAGCAGTTCTCTAACAACAGAAATCTTGCACACTGATGGTAACCTCACACTGACACAGTAACTTCCAGCCTCTCTAACAAAATATTCCATGGACCATTCGGTCATAATTTGTTTCAAGAACCAAGAATTTTTGTTATTCCTGCAACTCACAGATAAGAATTTTACACCTTTTAGAGCTCTGGGATTGGTGCTCTTACCCACTACCATTGGTTCATTTGTCAGGTCCAGCTGCATTGCTGTGCACTAAAAAGTAACACTTTCTTTAGCTTCTTTCACCCCTGATCATACACTTCCTTTGTTTGACATGAATTTTTTTCATCGCCAACAACGTCCATACTAAAAATCTGTTCTGGGCAAAGATTTTCTTCTGCCACCAGCACATAAAATTCATAGATAAATACTTCTGCAGCATCTTTATCTGCTGAAAGTTTTCCTTCATAGGCTTTCAGATAACACACACCATGCCTCTGAATAAATCTGTTCCACTAACCACTGCTGAAATCACACTTCTCCTCTATTATTAAAACAGCGTGAATCTGTTTTCCACTTGTACAAGACAGCGTCGAGGTTTGCCTCATGGAAAAATATTCAGTTTTGGATTTGGGTGTTAAAATCACTGTTGCTGCAAAATCTCAAGTGCTCTTTTTTATTTTTCCATATACCATATACACTATGTGTCACAATTCTGTATGATTCTACTATAAACCAAGAAGCCACAGCAAAATTTCCACTTTTTGCATTACTGTCAATACAACCTGTTCATTTCTGAGCACTAAAATCATAAACACGTTCCTTACTGCCATTGTATTAAGAAGTGCTTAAATTAAGGATATTTTAAATTTCATCTAAAAAAATTCTGAATAAAGTGAAAAATATCAGTACTAAACAATCTCGTGAAGTTAACAAAGCTCAGGAAATACAGCTATGTGAGTTGTGAATTTGAAAGAGAAGTTAAGTGAAGTTGTCTGCTTCTTTACCTCAATACAAACTGCAGGTAGGAAAAAACTTTTATCATAATGTCAGTGGTTTGGTAAGTACAGTCAAAAGTCTTTAATCCGGACCTCAAAGCTACCGACTTTCTGCGATGCGTTGACACATGCGCATAATGCCTTTATGCATGTGCGTAATACATTTGCGCATGTGTGTTTCATGTATAACGGACGGTATAAGCTAAGCTAAAATTATCTATTTCAGTTAATGTTGCAGATTGCGTTGTTCCTTAATCTTTGAATTAGATCCGGCTTATTATTTTTTGTAGACTGTTAGAGCAATTTTATAGAAGTGAGCTTGAACTTTCGATTATGTCAAAA